GTCACACAGGGATGTTTGAGAGGGGTTTGGGGACCGCTTTCACATCGCTGTCGTGCCAGATGTGGCAAACTTGGGCACAAAGGCAAACTTGAGACGATTTCGAACTTCCCTGCTTTAGGTGATTTATCACACGTGCTCTCTGCTGGGTTGTAAAAGCAGGACATTGTCTGAGCGAGCAGGAATCCACAGAGCTGCGATTGCCCCGAGCGATGCGGGGGTCTCCGGATCAGCATGGAAAAGATGGGCATGGGATTGCAGGGCAGGAATCCCGAGCGGTGAGGGTCAGGCAAGATAAAAACCATGGCTGTGGTAGGAATACCCCCAAGTGTGCTCTCACCAGACACTCAGAGTGGTTTGGGACCCTTGGGATGGGATGGGATGTGGACACTGTGGGCACCCCGACACCACACAGTGATGGGCCAACAGCCGACGTGCCCAGTGCCGTCAGCAGAAGCCGAGCCCAGCAGTCCCTTACCTCCAGCACACAGCGGGGTTCCCAGTGCTGATCCCAGTCCCAGGTGCTGCTGGCTCCATCTGGCACGGCTTGGCGAGGCTCCCGGAGCACTGCTCCCATCCCTTCCACAGTGTCCCATAGGACCCTGCTTTCCAGGGCTCGTATCAGCCAGCACCGGGCACACCACGGGACAGCTGAGTGCCGGGCTGAGCGTTTTGAGTCAAATCTCTCTGCTTTTGTTGCTTTATTTTGTTCTATTTCGTGTCAGCAATTCAAACGTTTAGCGCACGTTTTGTGCTCCTTATTAATGGGAGCAAGGTTTTATAAGGGATTATATTATAATGCATATTTATGAGACAAGCGTGGATCAAGAATCCTGATATTTAAAAGATGCAATTATCTTTAAAAAGTTTGGCTTTGTTTTCATTCTAATGAAGCCAATGTTTTAAGGCAAGCTAATTGGCTTGCCACTCATTTAGCTCCGTTGCCTGCTCATTACAACCCCTGTGTTTCCTTATGAGCAAATTTAAAAGCAGTCTCTTACTCCAGCTTTAACTATCGGGCCTCTGAGGAATTCATGGGGCTTCTTTTTGTGCCACACAATAAAAATAACGCTTCCTAAACACCAGTGGCATCCTCGTTAGAGGAAACATCCTTTAGATTTGATGGGGAAAAGCCCAAACGGGAGATGAAAAGCAAACAAGCAGAGAGGGAAGCAGAGAAGCTTTTGGAGAAGCTGCTGCCACTGAAGATAACGTGCAAGAAGTTCCAGCCTGAACCCAGGCTCCAATGAACAGCGTGAATTCAGGCAGAAACTGCACTGCTCCTGAGATCAGTGTCACTGTATGGGGTGAGTGGGGCATACACAGGGCTGGCCTTCGAGCGGCCCCATCCCACAGGCAAGGGCAGCTCTGTCAGTCCGAGCCAAGGCCCTGCTTTGGCTTCTTTATCAGTGCAGATCTGATTATTGAAGAGCCGGCCGGCCTTTCTCCCACTGAGTAATTATGTTCTGCTGAATTAGATTTCATTAAACAACCAGCCCTGATGGCAGAAACAAATCCATGATTCACTTCAAGAGCTGCTCGCTGTTTCGGTTAATTTGCACTGTCAATAGAGAGGGTTGTGGTGGAAAAGCAACCGCTTGGATGGAGGCTCTGCCTGGAGACCTCTGCGGCGCGACTGGTGGGTGCTGGAGCCCTGCAGGTGGGTGACACCGAGGCCCTTGGGTACCACAGTCATTGGATGTATCTGGAGGACCATAGGGTGCTCCTTGGAGGTGTTGCTGATGTTAGAGCTGGCTCAGCTCACTGATCCTCTCTGACTGATGTGAGCAGGGATGCAGGCAGGAACAGACCCAGGCACAGCCTGCTGCCTTCAGTATGAGCCAAGAGGGTTTCACTGGGCTAAATTAAAGATCATCAGCTTTAACTGAAGTCCAACTCCACTTTAGCCCATCCGAAAGGCTAGCTGTCAGGAATACAGGACTCTTCCCAAAGAATCTTGGACACTAATAGATGCTGAATAATGCCCAGCTCTCCCCCATCACTTCTTTCATACAAGTGTTTACACCCTTCAAGCTGGCATCATCAGCAGAGGATAAATGGAGCCCAATGGAGAGCACATGTATCTGACCAAGGTCTGAAGGTGTTTCGAGGAGGGGAACATCCCCCAGGGTAAGCCAGAAGCCCCATCCCTGTGCCCCATGCATGGGAAGGGATGCTGGATCTTAAGGTCCTTTCCAACCCTAACTGTTCTATGATCCTATGCCTGAGCTGCCCCAGCCTGAGGAAGGATGAGGGTTTCCCTGAACAAGGCTTTAAATCCAGGCAAGGGCACCCAGCTCCAAACACACACCTCCAGAGCCAACCTCTCCACCCCCCGTGTGGACATCAGCATTCCTGGTCCAACCGCTCCTAAAACCCCCTCAATGAAGACCCTTACGTGACACCTTAATTTGGTTTTCCCGGAGGTTACAAGGAAATGGTTTCAATCACGGAGTCAATTCAGATTGCAATAAAACATTACATAAATATTTACATCAGCCCTGGCTTTACTTTAAAAGGAAGGATTTTTTCCCCCTTGCACACGCTGCCAAAGTAGTTAGCTGGCAAAGCAGTGCAGAAACAAGGCCTGGGAGTCACTTTTTCCCTTCGCAGATCCATCACGGAGCCATCCGAAGGGCTATTTTCCCCCCGTCTCCCCCAGATTCCATCATTTCCCTTCACTAAAAGATGCCATGTGTATCCCGGTCGCCCAGGTAAGGCGGCGACATCAGCTCTTCATACAAATGAGAGGAGGGAGGGGAGGGAAGAGGGGAGGGAAAAAGCCTTCAAAGCTGCAGCACATTAAAAGGAATTTATTAGATGTGCTGTGTGGGCAGGGTGCCAGCCAAGTTTAATATGGATCTATATACAAAGAAACTGTCTCGTTACACAGAATGAATATTTAATCATGCATGGATCAAGCAATTTCACTGAAGTAATTAAAAGCAGGCTTTGTTTATTGCTAAAAACGAGAGCTCCCCTATTGACCCGGTGCAGGGCTTCTTGTGCCATATTGAACATGTTACCTGCTGATATTAAGTTATTAAATGGGGGATTAAGGCTAATTTTTTCCCCCTTTGCAGATAAGAGCTCTTAAGCTATCTTGTCTGTTTGTGCACAGCAAGGAGGGGGGGAAGAGCCCCACAGTGTTAAAAACAAGCCTGCCTGAATCCCAAGGGTTAGGAAAACACTCGGACCCACAGCGGGCAGGCAGAAAAGGGTCAATTCATTCAATAACCAATGGATTAGTTTGGTCCCGGTGGAGCAGCCCTGGGGCAAAATCCCAAGGGATGAGCTTGGTGCTGCTGGGTGGGTACCCAGGGTCATGGCGTGGGATTAGATCCAAAGCAGGGCCAGGCAGAAGGATGCTCAACTAAACTGGGACATCCATCACAGAGAGATGGTGGGAAGAGCATTTAGGCTGGAATGAGGGGGCTGTATCCCAGCCTTTCCCTGTGCCATGGGGAACTGGGGCTGTTGCTGCTGTCTCTTATGGCTCGTTGGATGTCAAACACCACTTCCACATGCCAATGGCTCTGAGTATCAAGCGCTCACTGTGGATTAGCTCTGAAGCAAACTGACAACCAGGGATTCACTGTGTAGCCTTAAACACATCTGTATTGCCAGGAATGGATGCTGGGCACCTGTGGACTTGTGGCAGGACCAGGGGAGTTCCTTACACAAGCAAAGGCCACTTTGGATTGTAGCATTTAAACCAGTGCCTTGGCATCACCCATAGCAGATCCCTCAGGTGATGGAGAGCCAAAGGGAACAGCTGCCAGGTAATCCTGGTGCAAGCAAATAGGACTTACCTGGAAGAAAGCCTTCAGAAATGGCCATATCCAGCCTTGGTGCTGTTGTGATCCCGGGGGCAGGAGGCCCCAGGAGTGACTGAGCCAGTGGGAAAGGCTGCGGGCATCAGTCCTGAGCCTGCTGGGTGCTGCGGCTTTGGGGTGCAGAATGGGGGCTCCTGCAGGGAGATACAACATCAACATTTGTGTGTTAAGCACCCCAAGCCCTTAGGCAAAACCAATAGCTATGGACAAAATGCCTGTTGGAGAGAAGCAGCTTCAACAAGCTTTAATAAAACTATCCCTTGGAAAAAGAACTTAGAATCCCAGACTGGTTTGGGTTGGAAGCCCCTCTCCAGGCTTCTTGTAGCCCCTTTAGGCACTGGGAGCTGCTCTAAGGTCTCCCCAGAGCCTTCTCTTTCAGAGCACAAGAAAAATGAGCCCAGGGTACAAAGGGCTGGAAAAACAAGAGCAAGAGGCTGGGGAAACCCAAGCAGCGAGGAGAACACCAGAATGGAGAAGCCTTAAAAGCCAAAGAGCTCTCAGAGCCATGGTACCAGACACGAGGCGCTTAGGATCCTGCATCCCGATGCACCTCTCCCTGCTCCTCGCGGTCATCTCCCCTCCGAGAGCCGCTTGTGAGCTATTAGCAGATGAGGATATTACTGTTTTACCCTGACTCTGCGTAACTATAAATGACAGAGCAAATTGCCACTCGGTGAGAACATGGGCCTGATGCATTTAAGCTGACAGCGTCCCTTTACATGATGATTATTTATAGCGCATTAGCACCAGGGAGGCTTCGCCAGGCGCAACCCGGGGCCGGCGGCTCCTGACCCGCAGAGTGGCTCCTTAGAACAATAAAGCACCACTGCTGCTTCCCAGAGCCCCAGCGAGGTCATGGAACCAAGTAAAAGCCAGGGGTGATGACATTTATAAGCGCTAAGATCTTAAAGACAGAAAAAATACTAGTGAGGATGAAGGCTTCGCATCAAACTAATGAAAAGATGGAATCCCGGCCAAGAGCTGCTCGGCTGGAATATGAAGAACATTCACGCCCTTTGCTAGCTCCACTTTTGCTATGGGATGCTTAAAGACACGTGCCATACGTATGGGTGCATGTATGTGTGTATGTGCATGTATATACGCACACGCATAAAGGGGGACTGTGCGCATATATAGATGTAGATAGAGATGGACGCAGAGATGAAAGGGGAGGTTTCCTCCGTATTCAACCAGTGTTGACCTCAACATTAACACATCCAACTGACTCAGTGCTTTCCCAATAAACCCTTCTGGCCTGTCACACTCACTGCTTCGCAGCGCTGTCAAACACAGCGGTGATGCTGAGCCTCGCTGGGGGCTGCTCCGTGTCACCAGTCTGGTCCTCTCCGCAGCTGATGGAAGGAGAAGATGATGACGGCTCCTTTTCCCTGAGGCAGAGGGATGATCCTGCGCCAGGACCCTTCCAGGGCTGCCCTGCAGGTAGTTATCTTGTCTATCCCACGTGTTAACATCCCCTGAGCCGCGTCTGCGAAGGGGAACCGGAATCACAGCGCGTAATTAAGATGTGAGCTCTGATGTGTCGGCAGGAAGGTGAGGGGAAACACGGCCTCTCAAGGTCAGACAGCAAACCCCGGCAGCAGCGTTCTCTGCAGTGTTATCTCCAGCTGATTGCATCATCTGCATACGAAATGAAAGACAATTAATGTTTGTCATGCACAGACTGGCGCTGCGCTCCCCTCGGCCCCCCCTTCCCTCATTAATCTCCCAGTAGCATCCCGAAAGTCGCGTGTGGCAATGAAATACCAAGAACCCTCTCTGGTGATGTGAATGGGAGATAAATCTCTTCTCTTGTCAGCGAGCCTAAAGGCAGGAGCTGGAGCTCCCCCCGAGCCAGCGATCTCACCTGCAACTATTTGCTTCATTAGGAGAAAACCCTATTTTTCACTAAATTGGGTGGCTAATGTATACCATTACAACCTGCCAAGGAAGCGGGTTTGCCCTTCTCCTTCGTGCCAGGAAGACAGCTGAACGTTCTATTTACCTACAAAGTATCCCTCAGCCCTATGTTAAAGAGGATGAGAGACAAATTACACCTTCACGTTAATGGTTGATGATGCTCCTCCTGCACGCCTGGAGGCCTCTTCTGTCTTACTCCTCCAAGCCATAAACCAATGATTTGTCCCAGGTATATTTTTCATCAAGCCCATAAAAACTTCCAGTTGATGGTAATGGAGGAAGAGTTTATCTCCAATGGGTCCCAGGCAGGCTTATGGCAAGAATATGCCAAGTACCCATTAAACAATCAGACATAACAGGGCATGTGTTCGAGCGCAGTAAGGGTACACGGAGGTGAGTTAGAGTGATGACACTCCTGACTGGAAAAGCTCTTTTAAAGCAGCTTCATGCTGGAGATGGGTTTGGGGAGGGGTGATCCTGCACCCCAGCTCTGCAAACACCAAAGCTCTTATTCACAGCTCAGCTGGGAGAAGGGAAACAGCACCCAAGTGCTCAAATGGCCATAAACCCACGGGCACACACTTGAACACACACAAAACCCCAGTGCAAGCACTGAGCTCATGGAAAAGCAGGGCTGGGACCCAGTTCCAGCCCCAAAACCTCAATATTCCACCGTGACCAAAGGCCCATGTGGGTTTTCGCACAGAGCATCCCCCCCTCTGCTTCCACCTGCCCGGGCACCCGCTGCTACACCTTCTCTTAAAGCAAAGAACCATATTAAAACCAGACCCCAAAACTGCAGAGACCTTGCAGGGATGGAGCTACCCGGGGCCTGCAGCTTCATCCCCTGCAAGAACTCACAGCCCTCTTTGGTGCTTGCTGCATTGTGCCCGCATCTGGAGCCACAGGCTTGGATTTGCTTTGGTTCCTTTAAAGCCGGGCCCAGCTCTGAAGCTGCAGCCCAGGTCCTGGCTCTCACACAGCCCTGTTCCACTACGTCTTTTCCCTTTACTTCTTATAGCTTTTATTAGCCCAGCAGTAAGAGTGGAGGCTCACCCCGACACAGACCTCAGAGGAGACCATGCTTTCTCAAGGTTTACTTTAGAGTGCAGCTTATGGCTGGGAAACAGAGCCCAGCCTCTGCCCAGCTCCTTTGCTCACTTCTCACTAAAGCACTGCAACCCCATTTGCCATCCAACACCTTCTTTATGCTGCTTTCCTGCATTTACAGCCCAATCTGGTGTGATTCCAGTGTGCAAACTGGGCACGGGTTAACCAGCACTTTGCCCGCCTCTGGCTCTGACCAAACCTCACCCCGGTGCATCCCTTTTGGTGCTGGTTTTGGGCAGCAGGCAAAGGCAGGGCTGTTTGTATGTAAAAGATGGTTTATATGGTGGATATTACAGGGCAAATTTGCAGCCAGCCGTGCTCCAAGCTGGTTTGAAAGCCTCACAGGGATGGGGTGCAGGCAGGTCCTGCTGCAATGCAGAAGGTGAGCAAGCTCACACAGCTCTCCATGCAGCCCTCCCCAGGGTGCCAAAGCCACCCCACACAGCCCTGCTCCCCCAAAGCCTGGCTGCTGCTGCACTGAACCACTTAAAAGCAGCACAATGCACTTCAGAGGCTTGGCAGAGACAGGAATGAAGGACTTCCCATGGCAGCCTGGAGAGCGCATCCCTCTCATCCCGTCTGAAGTGGCTCCGAGAAGCTGCAACTGAAAGTCTCTCACTAGAAGCAAGCACCGGATCTTTGTAGGACTCTGTATTAAAGACAAATCAGCCCCAAAAAGGCTCCCCTGACCCATGTATCCCAGGGCTCATGTTCCAGCACCCCCCAAAGAGGCACCCGACCACCCCGCGCAGACCTGCTCCCCGTTGGCACGGCCCTTCCAGGCTGCCCAGCTCCAGGAAAATCACCAAAATAGGATGAAGTGAAAGGAAAATATGCAAGATGAGGGGAATTAGTGTGGAGATAAACCAAAGGGAGCCCGGGAGGGTTCATGCTTGGGGATAAGTGGTATAATCGGGAAGGAAATTGAAAAGGAATTCCTTGGAATACAACGTGCTGCTAATGGGTTCCCTCTGCACCGCCGGAGCAGAGCCTCTCCCCATCTGGATCCAATGGCACTGTTATCCCAGGCCGGGTGCGTGTGTCAGAGACAGCCAAGCGCTCCGGAGCGCTTTGTCTGAGCGTGAGAAGAGAGCTGCACCAGCGCAAATCCCAGTGGGAATGAAGGGAACTGCTGGATCCTTCCAGGTTTAGCTGGATGAGACGGACGTGCAGAGCAGCGCAGGTCAGCGGCAGGAAGCCGGCAGCTTCCAGGCGCTTCCATGAACCTATCGCATGCTAGAGTCCGGGCTAAAGAAGCACCCAACGGCGATGCCGGCAGCAGCAGAGGTGCTGCAGCATCCTGGGCGCTGGAATCACCCCAAAACCGCAGCAGGGTGCGATGCATCCTCCCTGCAGCGCCCAGGCAGGCAGCGATGGGCACAGCACAGCCTCGACATTCCCGATCCGAAGCCGTGCCTTCTGCCAGAGGTAGAGCCTTGGCATCTGCACAAGAGCAGCGTTTCTAGCAGTGCAATGGCCCTTTTCCAGCATGCCATTATTCCTATTTTATAGCGTTGCACAGCGGCCAGCGAATGGATCCGCGGAGTCTCTTTGGCACCAGGGAGGTTAACATTTTCCTCTTGGCACTTGTGCATTGATAGCTGTTAAGTGCAGGCTGCTCCTAGGCCAGGGCTATGCCTTTCAATAAGCTCTTCCTTTACCATTTCAAAGCCTCCACAATAAGTATTACTTCCTGGCAATTCCCGTTAGCAGCCGGGTACGTGCTCTGCCTGTGAGACAATGCTCTGGGAGCAGGAGAGGGCTCTTTGCTGGAGCCTTGCTGTCGTTGCTGCTTTTGTGGTAAGGGAGGAATGGGGCTGCTATTATATTTTCATCTCTTTGTCATGTGTTGCTATTGGAAAGCTGCTCCCCGGGCTCGCTGGCCACCACATGAGCTGGTTAATGGTAATAAAAGATTAAATTCACTACGGGATCAGCGAGGCTTTCAAGAAACACACAGCGTTCTATTAATCCCAGACATGCAGATTATTGCACTTATTACTGGGTTTAAATATGGAATTGAAACAAGAGCAGGAGAAGGGACTGTGCAATATCTGAACTATCCAAGCGTGCCCATTACCCGGGGAGGAAATAAATCCCCTCGGCCCCTCAAGTCCTTGCCACTGGAAGCGCTGCACAGGCAGAGCCCTTTGTCTGCCATTAGGCATCGATCCAGCCCTTAATGAGGTCAACAGGAGGCTTTCCATGGGCTTCAGCAGCCCTTGGAGCTGCTCCTTCCCTCACAAATCCAACACGAAGAAGGCTGAGACAAGCACAGCTCCGTCAACGGGGCCATTAAGCCCATGCTGGGAGTCGAGAAGCTGCCACCACCAGCTCACCTCTCTTTAGATGTCCAGGCTGGGGAGGACAAGCATCCTTGTCCTCTGGGGCTGGTGGCCATGACAGCGTTGAGCATCGTGGAGGGCATCGCCACGGAGGGCATCGCCACGGAGGGCATCGCCACGGAGGGCATCGCCACGGAGGGCACCACAGCAGCTCTGCAAGGGGGAACGGAGCTGGGCTGAACCAGAGGGGCTGGTGTGAGCGTTCCTAGCGACAAGCTCAGTCCCACGTTAGGAGCCAAATCCTGATGCTGAAAAACCCCTCTTGCGAACCCAGCAGGATGCAGCCCCGAGTGAAACAGCCCCGCTGCGTCACCACCGCAGCCTTGCAGGGCTGATCCTCGTGCTTCATGGCTTGGAGCCCCGGCTGTTTGCCTCGGTTTTCCCTGTATTTCTCTTCATGAGTCTCATTTCATCCTCTGGGCTCACCGATGGCTCAGCAAGTGAAGCATGTGGCTTGAAGCCCATGAAAGGGTCAGAGACAGCATTGCCCAAATATCCGCATTCACCCATGTTTGCCGAGTCCTGCCTCGTGGACCACGGAAGCCAGGCAGCAGCCAAGAGCATCACGATGCCTGGGGTTTCTCCTCCCTATTTTAGCTACATTTGGTGCATGGAAGGTACCCAGAATATTATCAATGCACGAACATCTTCTCCTGCTTCTTGTTTCAAACGCACAGGACGGAGGCAAGAGCACCCCAGGGTGGATTTTTGGGGGTGTGAAGGAAGCCCAATGGAGTCAATAGGATGAAAACACTGAACACGCAGAGGGAGGAGCAGAGGCCTGGGCTGGCCACACGCATCTCGCCCTGATTTAAGCACCGGAGGCGAATGATCGTCTTTTCCTGGCGCTGGATGAGGGCAGCAATTCCCCCCGCAACGATAAAATGAACGCTGCGAGCTGCAGAGGAGCCGAGGCGCGGTGGCGGTCCGGAAGATGGCTTTCTGTCCTCTGCTGCCATGGATGACAACCAGCGCCCGAACTCCTGTGCCACACTGACATCTGATGGCAAAAGCGTTTGTTACAGCTGCGGGAGCTGGAGAGGCGCTTCCAGGGCAGGTTTTGCCGCACAAAGGCCTGGATTCTGTTGCCCTCCTTGTCCTAACAAACTGTTTGTTTCCTGCGGTCTAAGAGGCACACAAATCAATGACATTTCTCTGCAGTTAAAGCAACAGAAATCCCACACTGGTTTGTATTGGAAGGGACCTCAAAGCTCATCCAGCTCCAACCCCTGCCACAGGCAGGGACCCCTTCCACTGGAGCAGCTTGCTCCAAGCCCCTGTGTCCAACCTGGCCTTGAGCACTGCCAGGGATGGGGCAGCCAGCAGCCACTTTGTCCTTTACCCTGTGAAGAGCAGAATGAGTGCAAGCAGCATCACCAGCCCAGCATCACCAGTGAGAGCGGAGCACCACCTCCACCAGTTTCCCCATCATCTCTTATAACTGGGTGATTCTTGCAGGGGAGCAGGAATACCCCCCCCTGCGAGTTACAGGGGAGCTCATCTGAGCCTCTTCGATTGCTGTAAGGTGAGCACTCCTGAGTGAACAGGAATAATTCACAGCATTCAGCAAAACTGCTTGAAATAATCATCACAGAGAGCAGCCAGCCATGGATCAAACAAGGCTGCATCACCCTCGGGGGAGCCCTGCCATAACCACTTAACCAGCCCCCACCGCAGCCAGCCCCAAGCCCCGTAAGTGTAATGGGTTTTACCTCCAAGCCCCGTATGGAGCACGGATCCTCCTGCCTGCAGGCAGCAAATCGCGGGGAGGGCAGAGATGAAGGCGCCTGGGGGTGATGGAGCCGAACAGGTCCCGAGATGATCTTCCCCTTCCTTTAAAGCGCCGGTGTTTCAGACATCCTTTGTTCTTGCACAGCTCCAGCAGGACTCTGCTAAAGCCCTCGGCCAGCTCCAACACCGCCTTTTCCTTTCTGTCTCTTAACAGATGCCTGCTGGGAATTAATCCTCCCTGCTCCCTGCTGCGGCCGCGAGCAAGGCGTCAGGAGTGTCCTTTAGATAAGGTTGCTGCCACTTCATTAGCCAATATTTGCCCAGCAGCAGGAAGATGCAGGAAGAGCGCTGAGCATCGCGGCTGTGGGCTGTGGAGGAGCCACCCTCCCCTCCCTGGGAGCACAGGGGTTGGTGTTCATGGCCCGGCCGGGTCAGGATTGGGATGCCGCAGGATGAGCGGCCCCTTCTCCCTGCTTGCTTCCTTGCATAAGGAGCTGGGTCACCAGCACCAAGCACCGCACCCCCGAGGACAGCTGCCCAAACCCTGCCCTTCCAGCGGCAGCTCCCAGGCCCCAACCTGCCTGCAGGTCATTAGCAGGGACCATCACCCTTATTCTATGTGTTTCAGGCAGACCCTGATGACTTGAAGTCACAACCCCTCACTAATGAGAGCCTACTGTGTGCCTGACTGACGCCCCGAGGCAATTTGTCCCTCACCACGCTTGTTATCCCTACATGGAGCAGATACCGAGTGATTTCTCTTACCTGGGGCAAGGTTTCCTCCCTGTAAAGTAAATAAGTGTGCCCGTATTTACCCACAGCGCTCCTGAGCTCCATGAGTTAGGTGGCAGAGCGCTGAAGGAGAGCCGGCACAGCTTGGTCACTGCTGAGCCGGGATGTCCCAGCTTCCTTGCCTGAAAACACCGGGAGAGGTTTCTGGAGGGCTTTGGCCGAGGGGAATGGCTTTAACCTGCCCGAGGGGAGACTGAGCTGAGCTCTTAGGCAGAAGCTCTTCCCTGTGAGGGTGCTGAGGCGCTGGCACAGGGTGCCCAGAGAAGCTGTGGCTGCCCCATCCCTGGCAGTGCTCAAGGCCAGGTTGGACACAGGGGCTTGGAGCAAGCTGCTCCAGTGGAAGGGGTCCCTGCCCGTGGCAGGGGTTGGAGCTGGAGGAGCTTTGAGATCCCTTCAGCACAAACCAAGCTGTGGTTCTATGGTTCAGTGCTTTTCCAGCGACTCCAACCTGCAGCTAAAACCCTGCAAGATCTATTTATAAGACCTAGGGAGTGTAAAAACCCAAACTCCAGCCCTGCAGCAGCTTCAGCCAAGCCAACCACCGAATGCATTAGCATCTTCCTCGCAGCCAGACCACACAAACCCAGGCTGGCAGCATCTCCCCAGCCCATACCATGCCAACCGCGCAGACCACCCAAAAAGCCACACTGGCTGCAGACTGCAAACTGCTCCCTAGAGCTGGAGCTGCAGCATCTCAAACCCAGGAGCACCCTGAGGAGCCCCACGTCCTCCATAAGGGACCTGCCACGGGGGGCGAGCTGCAGCAAAGCATCAGATGTCAACCAGCCTAAGGAGGACCTGGCTGCTGCTTCCACACCGAGGTGTGCCCCAAAATCACAACTCCCTACTCAGCTGCTTGCACCTTGGATGGGGCCGTGCTCCTTCAGGGCCCTCTGCAGCGCTGGCCTTCTGGTGGAAGGGAGACTTGGAATAAAGCAGGCAAACAAGAGCAGTGCCTCCACTTAAAAGCCCTTTAAAGGCTCGGGCGTGATTGATGTGTTTAAACTATCAACCGCCGCTGGTTGAAGAGGAGGTAAATACAGGACCGAGCCCTGCGGCTGCACAAACAGTGCCAAAGAGTAAGCAAACAGCCCGACAAGCCCAGCGCTCTCCTGGAGACCGGGTTTGCTCCGCACCGCGCCGCGGGGCTTGAAGAGGAAGCATCCGGCAGCGAGAAGAGGGAGCTCGGCCCCTGCTCTGCCCAGGGCTGCGGTGCCAGAGCTGCTGGCCATGGGTTGCAGCACCCCCGGCTCCTTCGAGAGGTTGGGGGGCTTTGGGCAGAGCAGGGCTGGTACCCAGGTTCCTTGGGCTGGAACTGGATGAGCTTAAAGGTCCCTTCCTTGCGTGAGCAGAGTGGGAAGGAGATGGGGGCTCCTCAGTGCGTGGAGGGAATCAAAGCCAGCAAGCAGGGAGCCGAGGGATGTGCGGGACTTCGCTGCTGCAAGCTTCAGGTGGAGTTCAATGGGCCATTTAGCAGGTAACTGTCACTTCAGACAGCACGGATTAGGCAGCCAACAGGAGCCAAGCTAGGGTGACGCTGCTCGTAATCCAGTGGATGCTCAAACACTGGGGCGGCTGGATAAATAGACAGTTTAATTAAACCAACAAGTCATCGTTTATTTTCCCATCACAATAGGTTAAATGACTTTTTATTCCCATTTTCCATCTCAACAGAGCAGACTTTTTGGTAATAAAAGCTCAACTCTAATTAACAGCTGGTGTGGTTGTACTTGGCAGCACTGCGAGTAATTCAGTACAAAGCAAACACATTTACTAGAAATGGCTTTTGATTGCAGAGCCCAAGGTAATGGATGTTTTGGGAGCGGGTGCCAGCGGCAGCGTGGTTATTGTTTCAGGATGGAGGACAAGGGGAGAGCGGGCAGGAGCCTGGTCAGGGAGGTGGAAGTGGCAAAACACCTAACTAACTGATAAAGCAGGCCCTGGGATGCGGTTGGCACCCATGGGTGATGCTGAAAGGCCTCTTGGGGCAGGCAGAGCTCTTCCTAAGGGGGGGGTCGGGTTCAGGAGGGTCACACAGGTGAAAACACAAGGATGAATGATCCCATGGGCACCCGGTGCTGTCTTATGCCAACCCCATCCCCTGGGACTCAACTACTGCTCACCCAGTGGGCAGGACCATGTCCCTCATTCCCATGGGTGCTCCCCATACAGCCAGAGGGACATCCACACTTGCTGCTCCTGTTACAGATCAACAGATGCCATTTAGAGCTGGGACATCAAATGGGCCCAGCTCATCATTTCCTATTATAACCTCTTCCTTTCCTTTACATCAGCACTGCTTTACACAGCAGCTTGTTACTGCTTAGCGCCGGGGAGGAAGAGGCTGATGCTGTTGGCTGATTCGGTGTGTCAGCAGCTTCACCTGCACTGGTGTGATTTACACGCACACACCCTCCCCACACAGCCCCAAGGCTTATCTAGTCACGCTATCAGGCACATTTACCCCTTTCCTAATGGCTGTCATTATTTATGCAGGAATATTGACAACAGCTTGAAGTCCTGGCCATAAAAATGATTTGAAATCAATCTCGCATGTTTCACTTACTGATTTCCCATCCAAAGGGTCTCTCCAGTGATTTAAATACCGCATCCTCATCCCGGCCTCCACATCGATCCCTGCTCAGGTGGAGCGGTCCCTGTGCCTTGTCATTTGTCCCCCCCACGGTGGCAGCTTTCCTATAAGATAGAAGCAGATTTCCTCAAGTTAAAACAGGGGAAAGGTTTATTTGGGGAAGAAGGGAGGGATTTGACCTCCAGACTGAGGTGCATTTGTGGAGGAGGGAGGGATGCTCGCAGGGAGGAGGTGACCCAAACCCCATTCTGAGGGGCACCTCCAGAGTAGCTGGTTCCTCATTCGGGCTGGGAATCACCCTCTGCTTCCAACAGCAGCATGGATTCTGGCACGGTTTGGGTTGGAAGGGACCTTAAAGCTCCTCCAGCTCCAACCCCTGCCACAGGTAGGGACCCCTTCCACCGGAGCAGCTTGCTCCAAGCCCCATGTGGGAGCAGGTAATCTTGACATAGAAAAGACAGAAGCAAAAGAGCAATTAAGGGAGAGAAGAGCCCACCTCTGATGCCCACCACCAATGGCAGAAGTCAGTCTGGATGCTGCATCCAAACCCTTTGTGATCTTCTGCAAGCCTCTGATAGGCAAGATGTGCTTGAGCAGAGCATCTTCCTCCGCAGCCCCAACCAGCAGCAGGTTAGCTCAGTAAAACAACCACTTCATTTGACTTCGGGCCATGCAGATGTGCTGGCAAGCCTGGCTCTGCAAGGTAGAGCCACCGCTGGGCTCCAGTGGCTTCACGAGAGGCACAGCCCTGCACATGCACCCCTGTAAACCATGCCTCTGCATCAGCCAAGGCCCCTTTCTTTTGCCATCCCCACCCCTACATGAGCTCAGAATCACACCATAATTTGGGACAGCACCACACAGCTTCGTGCAGAGCCCCACGAGCTGCAAAATCAGGCAAAACATCATGGAAACAGGGAAGCAGCTGGATGCAGCACACACACTGCAATGCACTGGGTTGTCCGGGATAGAGCTATCTCTAGGGTGAGTGGATTCCAGGAGCCCTGTTAAGGTATAATAGCAGTGTTGTAGGGAAAAGGCTGGAATGGCTCTGGGAGAGCCAGCCTGGCCACTGAGCCACCCAGGCTGTGTGCTTGCCAGAGGTAAGCGAGCCAAGAATGCAGGGGGCTGTGTGAGACTTGTCATCGGGGCTGTGCTGGGAGCAACGTGCTGCAAAGAGACATTGCTTTTGGAAACGCATATTCCCAGCTGCTCTTTGGGAAGTGCTCCCAGTCAGCCTCCAGCCCCAGACCTGTCCCATGCATCCTCCTGCACCCCGTGGTACCCGGCCGGTCAGGAAGATGTATGATGCTGGGTGGGATGTACAGCATCGAACCCTGGGATGCACTACCTAATGGAGGGGTGTCCTCCAAACCCAGCCCAGTCCCTGGAGAAGGGGTTATGCTCCCATTAGGATAATTCACTAGCTACAGCTATCCCATAGCTGTAATATAGCTCTCTCTAGGTATATATATAAAATATAGCTATTACCTATATAATAAATACCTGCTGGACCTTACAGCGGTGGCTTTGAAGGCGCAGGCTGCAGATGCACGGTGATCACAGGGTGACTTTAAGCGAAGCAAGAAACCAGGAGACAGCAACATCAGCCCTCAGCTGCTGCCCTGGGGTGGGCAAATGGTTTTCCACTTCATTCTTCAGCCTCTCCAGAGCAACTGGTCCAGTTCCTGCTGCCCTCGGAGGCTGCGCAAAGGGGGAACGTGATGTTGGGCGGGTGGCGTGGATCCCCCCCTCTTCCTGCTCAGTGAGCTCTTATGGCTCCTGTCACCTCTCATTTGCTCTGTTTGGGTTTGAAAACCTGCCAGGAGAGAATAAGGAACCCCATTCAGGGCGGCTTAACCCAACCTCAAAACACAAGGCGATGCTTGCAGAGCCCCACCACTGATGGAGGAAGCCAAACCCAACCATGAGCC